GACTTCTGACGCATGGCAGACAAAGGAAACGCCAAGCAAAAAAAATGACCAGAAAATGAGTGGCAAAACTTACTGAAAACCGAAAGTGAATGAGTGAGAATTAAAAGAATTTGGCTGTTGAGAGGCATTCGATTTACAAGGATACGATACATAATGGGAGGATCAAATGGCGGATAAGTTATAAATGAAACTAGGGCCTCTCGATCAGTATCAATAAAACCAAAATATGTATGCGCGTATGCGTATTAAGAATGTTATTGCTCTAAACTTTTATGGAAAATTATTTCCTTTTAACATTGCTTTTATGTACATACATAGCCAGCTCAGAGTACAAATTTGTGTACATATGTACATATATATGGTTGTATTGTATAAGGTCTGATACGATTGTGCATATGTACATACATACATAGATATGTCTCATTTTGTGTAAGTCTAATGACCTCCATTTTCATTAGTTATTTTAGTTGTATTTCCACTCACTACTATTTCCACTACACACAGCCCTAATCACATTCAACTCAAATATTAAATGCAATTTCATTCTCGTCATTTCCGAAAGAGAAGCTTCGCCTTCGCCCATTCCCCACAAAGCCCCTAATTGAAATTACGCAACGTTCATTGACTTTACAAATTTCTTAAAGGCAACCTGGCCGATTCTGGGTATTATTATTATTTATTTGTGGTTAGCGAATTGTCTCGGCAGCATATGAATTTTTTTCACTTTTATTATTAGTTGGGCATGGCATTAAGCTTCTCTTTGTATGAGTTCGCTTTCTGGGAAGAGGCTGGGTAAGAGACCTGTAATGTAATCGCATTAATGCTGCTTTATTGCCTCCACTTCTTCTGGCCAAGACCAAATTAGCCGTGAATGAGTCAAAGAAAAACTACGACTACGACTACGTAAAAAAATGTTATTCAGACACGATCATTGCCCATAATAATATAAAAAAAACACAAAAAACAGGGAAGACGAAGCAGACGATAAGAACGATCGATTGGAACTAATGACTGAACAATAAGTTGACGAGAGTACAAAATATAAGCTGATAAGAGTCAGGAAGCCAGTAGAATTGACAGCTGAAGAGCAGCAAGGTAACAGAGTCAGACATACATACATATGTCCATGTACTCTTGTATAGTGGACTAGAGTGAAAAAAGAAGTGTATGTATTTGCTAGGGATAATTAATCCTGAAATCAAATGAAACTTTTAATATGTCAGAACTAACAGTCCCTCCATTAGCTCCAGCAATCTAGTCTTTCAACAATATATAAACACCAATTCAACTATTTCCAGTCCCATCAACCCAACCGAAAAAAATATCAGACCAACTGGAAATTCAATAATAATCATAATAAATATCGAAACAAATAAGTGAATAAAGTAAAGTGAACGAAATCTCAATGAGTGCTGAAGGTCAGAATGCGTTGGACATACCAAAACGATATCGAAATAGGGCGCGGAGTGACAGGGGAGTTTACTCGAAACTGTATCAATTGGATGGCGGCTGTCGCCAATGAATTCTCTCTTCAACCTTTCAGCGCAATTAAATGCGAATTGAAATTCCTCTTAGCCCCTCAATTCTGTACTTCATTTTTGTTGTTGTTTAAATTGATATTAATGGTTGGTGGGTGGGGAGGGAATGGATTCTAAATCATTTATTTAAATTGTGTGACAAATTTAAGCAACGTTTTTCCTCTTCCCTTTATTGATTTGGTGGCTAATCTGTTCAGTCTCTTAGCAGAATTTGTATTTTTAAGCGATGATGTTATCTAATGTTTGCGTGACTCTTGAGCTCTCCATGCTTTTTTGGGGGTCTATTTCTTAGCCGAAATCGCAGTTCAATGATCGCATTTAATGATTTTTGTATGCGAAAATAAGTAGATTTTGTACTTAACTCTGCTGTAGTTTGTACTCTGTAGATGGGGATCGCACACACAAAAGTTTTGTCTGCGGCCCGTGCGAGCTTTCTTTTGTTAGGTTTTGTGTTTTGTTCATTTATTTTTACCTCAAAGAATTCGTGAATGTTTTTCTATGACCATTAAGTGGAGGAGGCGGTAAAGTCGAGGAGGTCTTGATATATAAGGGGGGGTACCTGAGAAAGATATATACATACATATATTGTTGTTGTCTCTGTCGCTTCTCTTGACGTCGAATGGCATGGGGCAGCAATATTTTTAAAACCTGAGTGTGGAGTGTTTGGTAATGAGGAATCGTTTGGAGATACAATTATGAAAAAATTCGATTAATAATAGTTTCAATTGTCGAGTATCAATTGAGTATTACATTCAAGAAAATAGTTCATATCTCACAGCAGTTACAGTTACGTCACAAATCCATATCCAAAACAAAGCAATTCTCCAATACTTCTCCTGTCCCAATAAATTTAAAAGACAAGACAATACAACTTCCATGAAATAAGACCTAATCAAGTTCAACAAACTTCAACAAGTTCCAAAAAGAACACACTACCAACTCGTTGCTGACTGACACTGACTCTTCAGATCTGTGTACGAATATACATACATACATATGTACATGTTTACATACATACTTATGTAAATATGTATCCACTGTCAAAGACCAAATTAGGTCAAAGGTTGCAGTTGAAGCCAATTATTTATGCTTACTGACAAAATATTTTGGTAGACAAAAGAAGGAGAAGAACTGAAATCATCAGAACAGATAAGAAACGAGTAGAAACGTGAGACGCTTCGTACGCGTCACTACTGTTATACCCGGTATTCAGTCACAGTAACCAATAATGAATTTCGTTGTTCTGGCTGATCCAATATAATCTTAATTTAGGGATCTGATAGACATGGCCACTCTCTACGAAACTGCGTTAATTTTCTCGTACCTTTAAAATTGTGGATTTAGGAGATTTTCACGGGGCTAAATTTTGCAACAAACTTAATTCAGTGTGATATTACATGAATATCACCCTAAATTTGGTGACTCTAGCTCTTATAGTCTCTGCGAAACAATCTTTAAACAAGACGGACAGACAGACATAGAATCGGATATTGATGCGGATCAAATGAAGTATATGTACATACATATGTACATTTGTACTTTATAGGGTCGGAAATGTTTCCTTCTGTGCGTTACGCACATTGATCCGACCACAAATACAATATACCCTATTTAGTCTTCGAGTACCGGGTATACCGAGTGTACAAATTTACATGCCAAACCTGTGTGTTTTGGCATCCGCGCGTTTGGGCTAAAAAGATTTACAACCCGCTCCGCCTGATAAAGATCTCAATTTACCTATAAATAAGTTCTCACGCTTTACAGTATTTTCAGCATATCTTTACTCTCATGTTTTTTGGCACTCTCTCTGGGATGTTTGTTGATTTGGTTGAGTTGTCAAGTCAGGTTTACTTCGCGTCTCGTACCTTTAGGTAAAGCTTAAAGAAAAAGCTCTGTCGCGGCCCCAACTTTGTTGCCTCATTCCGAGGGCATTAAAACAGGAGAAATGTTCTCTATCAATTTTTATTGGTTAATGTAACCATCAAATCTCTGTTTATTGCTTATGGCACATTTGCCTCGAGGATCGTATCGGATCGGTTAGGTCTATTTTACGACCCTTGTAGACCCTTGAGGTGAGGGAATGGCTGGGCCGTGGGCTAGTTTTGATGGCTTTTTATGGCACGTTTACGCGCAACGACAACGATCTGATTATTGATTTCGATGCAATCCAAAATCGCCTCTTTTATCGTTTTATGTGTCAACTTTTACAGTCTTCTTTCCATGGCTTCCTCCCCTCCCTATAATTGAATGAAATGGTTATGTTAACGTTCGGAGAGAAGTTCGTTAATATGTATGTAGACGATCACCCATCGCATGGTACTCAAACAGTAGTAGTTGTTTGCTCTTGGGGTGGGGTGGGGAGATCTCTGAGCATTTTGTTTATGGAGCGCTTTATGGATCGTTATTAGTCAGGGCTTAAGAAGTTAGTGGTCGCAGGGTGTCTTATTGGAAACTAATGAAAATGTAAGAATATGCATCATTGTTCATAATAGTTAAACTTAATAATTGTTGACAATGTGCAGGACTCAGTAATCAGTAATAAAAATGATTGGTGGCCATAGTATACTTAAATGAATATTTCCTTGGATGTAGGATATAAGCTTCCCCTTAGCAACGATCATGCAATCCGCAACTCAGTTTTAAAGAGAGCGCCAACATCAAGTTCAGTGTCAAACGGCATCAGTCGAACCAGTTGCATATCAACCGGTTGTCTTCCAACATGTTCGCTCTCAGCTCGAGCCGCAGACAACATTGCGTTCGGCTCTCTTCTCTCTCTCTTTGCGTACTCTTAAGCCCATTCAAATTGTAGTGTTGTGACTCCAACTACGGACAATGGAAACGAGTTCTTCTTTGTCCCCTAACATCCCTCCTGCTGCAGTGTCTCTTCTTTCCATCTTTTCCATCGACTTTTTGCATCCCTCGTTCCCCGACCTGCCCATGCTTTGTACCTTCTTTTTACAAGTTGTTTACCTTAAGACTAGCTGGCTAAGATGCTGGCTGTTTTAAAACACCATGTACCGTGTGCTTTCTAGTTTTGGAAGTCTATATTAAGTTATGTGCGATGTAAAAATTTTAAGATATTTATTTTCTACTACTACTACTACGACTTGTAGTTATAAAACCATAGCTGAAATATGATAAAAAGATAACCACCATATGATGGATTGATGTATTGAGATCCCCAGGGTACGAAAAGACTCTGACCTCGATGTTTGTAACATTTCTGTTTAGTTTTCTACAAGACGTTCTGTTCTCTCTACTTGATTATTTAGCTCTTGATTAGAGAGGAAAACAAAAAATGGAGAGGCATGGAGAGAGAGAGAGAGAGAGAGGGAACAAGAGACCAAAGAAGTTGCAGTTGCTCCGTTCCGATCTTGGAGCTTGGAGCAGACTCCTACACGAGGCTCGCCTCTTCGATCTCGCATATAAAATTTTTAGCCATTCTGCTCTTCCCCTGCTCTTTTTTCCATTTTTTGCAACCAGCAGGAAGTTCATTTTTCAGCTCAGTTCAATTTTGCACGTCATCTCCAGCGGTTTAAGCGGTTCAAGCGGATCTAACTAACCGCAGAACACAACAGCAACATTTTTCTGAATTCTGGGAACATTTTTTTTCTTTCGCGAGTGCTATAGTGGCTAAAATATATTCAAGCAAATCAAGCAATACAAGCAATTGAGCAATCTTAAACAATGAACTGTTTAGATTAGTGAAGTTTCTCTTTCAACTTAGTGGAGTTTTCCAAATAGTTTATACAAATCAGATCCAGCATGTATCGGTTGCAAAGACGCGCTGCTTTGATAGCCAAGCAAGGTACATATACAAATAATATACTTACATACATATGTACATACATATATGCAGGATATGCACGTATTGACCACGGAAAACTTGGGTAATCTTAATACCTTTGGTTTCGCTAAGGACTGAACGTCACAATCAAAATTAAATCGATTTGTTTTCTATTAGTGTCTTACAATTTTTGCTTCTTATTTTGTGTTGACAATACTCCTTCGCTTCGTTGGGTGACCCATCCCTTCTTTTACATCTTTTATTATTTATTTAAATTATTTAATAATTTAATTTACATTATAGACTGTGTGGTATTAAGGGACGAAGGAATGAAGGTATGAAATACTTGTATGAGATGTGATATGTTTATCCCAAATCGAGTTGAAAAAATTATAACGAAAAAACATATAATGCAATCAGTTAACAGAAACTGAAGCCCTTCTGCCTTATGCAGGACCCGACCATTGTGAAATGAAAGCTCTTGCAACTGGGTCATCTTCCTAGAAAAAAACATAATACCTACATAAGAAACAAAAATAAATAAATAAAACGAAACCCAAAACACGGAATGGCAATCATTTTACTTTTGATTATAAACAGAAGAGAGAGAGAGAGAGAGAGAGAGAGAGAAGGAGGAGATTATTTCTAGCCACTAATCGCTGCATACTTCGACCTAGAAAGGCCTTTCCATCCAGCTGGATGAGATCATCTTCTTTCTATTTCGTTTGGTTGGACAGCCATAAAAAGGGACAGCAGTGGAGGGATCCATACCTCCGCCAAAGTGAAAGAAAATCTTTGAGGTTTTCCTTTGTGAGAGGAGGGCGATGCACGATTCGACCAGCACATAATTTGAAGATTTAGAGAGTCGAGTCGACTTGAGTCAGTCAGTCAAGATCGCGTTTTGCATGCCAAATACTGGGCACAATTTGTCCTCGTCCAAAGGAAAGGCAAAAACCAAACAAAACCAAAACAAAATTCAATCCAAGTTCAAAGTCGTGCGCAGAGCTTCCCTCTCTTTCTCATTCTTTCTATCCATCTCTTCTCTTATTGGCAGAACTTCCCGCTCTACATCTTTCTCCAAAGAAGGTCATGGACAAATTTTAAGGTTCCTTCTGCCTCCCTCTTTCCCACCATCTGGGGTCCAGATGGGTTTTGCCCAATGACTGAACAGATTTATTATGGAAATCTATAACAAAATAAAACGAGGAGGGACGTTTGAGACGCTTCTTACGCGTCACAGCTTTTATACCCGGTACTCAGTAGTACATCTGTAGCTTAGTGGTTTTTTTCAAATATTACATTTTAAATTTGTTCTACATGTGTCATATATATCTACATCTCTTCTCAGGCCAACACGCTCTTTTAGCTAGCCCACTCCCCAAGAGCCAGACACTGCACGAATCGTAATGTGGAGTGAGAGAATGTGCATAAAATAAGCAAAGCTATTGGGTGGAGTATAATAATAATCTGACAGATATGGTCATTCCCTACTCAATTGAGCTTTTAGATTTCTCTTATCTTCAGATTTTCGACCTTTGTGTGGGCGGAAGAAGGCGGGGCATATTTTTGAAATACACTTGTTTCAATGTGATATCACAGCTGTGTTTAGGCAAAATTCGGTGGCTCTAGCTCGTAAAGTCTCTGAGAACTATCCGACGATAAAGACGGACATACAGACAGACAGATATAGACTCGGCTATTGATGCTGGTCAAGAATCAAGATCAACTATATGGGGTCGGAAACGTTTGCTTATCTGCGTTGCATACATCAACATTTGTGCACAAATACAATATACCCTATTTACTCTTCGATTACCGGCTATAAAAAGTTATTTGTCAGAAAAAAACCTCAAATCAATCAAAAACGAGAAGAGACGTTTTACAACTTTTATACCCGGTTAACAGTACCACATCTGTACCTTAGCGGTTTTTTGTGAAATTTTACATTTTTTCTTCATCTGGCATCTACATCTACAACACTTCACACGCCAACACGCTCCTTTAGCTCGCCCCCTTTCCTAGAGCCAAACACTGCAGAGTCCCGGCAGAGGCAGAGGAACGGCAAGGGCAGAGGCCGCACACTGCGCGAAGCTGAGTGTGAATGAGGGAATGTGCAAAAAAACAAATATAAGCTGCGGGACGGGGTGGGTTTAGCCGCTGCAAATTAATTTCTTCATTGTGGCTATAATAATGATCCAATCGGATTCAAATTTGGTGATCTGATAGATATGGTCATTCCCTACAGAATGGCGCTTTTAGATTTATATTATCTTCAAAATTGTAGGTTTGTGAAGCTATCGCCCTTTTGCGGGAACCGAAGGGGGCGGGGCTAATTTTTGAAATACACTGGTTTCAGTGTGAGCCTACAGCAGTCCGGAGTCTTGTGGCTTATAGTCTCTGAGAACTAGCCGACAAACAAGACGGACCGACGGACAGACAGACATGGTTCAATCGATTCGGCTATTGATGCTGATCAAGAATATATATACATTATGGGGTCGGAAACGCTTCCTTCTGTGCGTTACATACAACCGCTATTCGCACAAATACAATATACCCTATTTACTCTTCGAGTACCGGGTGTAAAAAGTTGGTTTGGTTCGAAGCGGAAAAATTGTGTCCGGTGGCGTAATCGATATCGTCAGGGTATTTAAAACTTCTTTCTTACTCTTTGCTTGCTTTGTGCAGGAGTCGGCTCGCCAGGTCTGCCTGTCTGTCTCACTGACTGACCAACTGTATTATTTCTTCACATTGGCTACCGACAATTCTAACCGTAAAACTACAAACTTGTACCCTAGCCTCCCAAGCCTCCTTCTATCCCGCTATCTTCCTATCCCACTCCACTTCAACTTTAACTCCAGCTCCGGGACCTTCTGCGTGTCTGTCATGGAGCCAGAGTCTGGTCGTCCCATTTAATGCATTTTCTTAAGACGACAACTAGTCGAGTCGGACACTTGACTGGACGTTGTGTCAGCTAAATTATTTCCACGGCTGGATTCGATTCTTCTTCTGCTTTTGCGTCTTCTCTTATCTTGCTTGTTGGGTGCTCTTTTATAGCCAACATGCACGCATCAGTCAGTCTAGGCTCTCCCGCTGCAGCTTCCTGTATTTTTATGACATCTGCAGACCAACTAGCTAAGTATCTGGCAATACCAGTCTAATCAGCAACGCCAGAGCGGGAAAAGAACAAAGAAGGAAAGCTTTTACCGTAGTACTCTAACGATGCTTCTGAACTTTACTCGACACCACCTACCTCCCAGCAGTTGTTTTCCCTTTCTGGCAATGCAATGCAATGCTGTGTGCGTCCCGGAAATTCCGGGCCAACTTAAAGAGAACTTAAAATACATGTATGAAAGAGTACAAAAAGAGACAGAGGTGAGCTTTCAATGGACGCATGCGTGACTGCCCAATGTCTCGCCTCTGCTTCTTGTCTAAAAAGTCTTCCTCATCTGCATTTCATGGTTGGGCTGGTCTTTGCTTCTCTCTCGTCTCCTCTTTTTTAACTACTTCTCCTTCTGTTGCAGCTAATCAAATATAACGACTCTTGATTTTCTTTCTAGTCTAGATAAAGATTTGTATTGCCGATTTTGATACCTTGTAGCACACGGACGGGGTGGGTTTAGCCACTGCAATTTTATTTCTTCATTATGGTTATAGTAATAATCTAATCTTATTCAAATTCTGTGATAGAAATAGTCATTTCCTAGGGAAGATTGGATGTACCTTCATAGTTGTGGATACAGCAGGTTTTCGCATTTGTAGGGGCGGAAGGGGGCAGGGATCATTTTTTAAATACACTGGTTTCAGTGTGAGGAGTATACATCAGTCTGGAGCCAAAATTTGGTGGCTCTAGCTCTTAAATTCTCTGAGAACTAGCCGACAAACAAGACGGACAGACGGACTGACAGACAGACATGGCCCTATCGACTCGGCTATTGATGCTGATCAAGAATATATATACTTTATCGGGTCGAAAACGTTTTTCTTCTGTGCGTCACAAACATCCGTTATTCCCCACAAATACAATATACCCTATTTACTCTTCGAGTACCGCGTATAAAAATCCTAATTTACTCTAGTTGCCATTTGTCCTCGCTGTTTTCTAGTACTGCAGGGAGGTACCATTACATATGAATTCACTGACTGAGTACTGGGTATAATAGCGTCTCATAACGTTCTTCCTCGTTTTTTTGTGAATAGGTGCACTAATGCGGCGTCGTTTAGGATAATGCACATTAAAATTCATGGATGAGATTACATATCTTTAATATATGATCACAAAGGTGGCACTTCGTATGATAACAAATCACAATGCAATTAAGATGATACAAAGAAGCGAACGAGAAAAAAGCAGCTACCCCATTTGCTTCTCAATAAATTCTTAAAAAAAACGCACGACTGCCACTATAATTTTTAGGTCACCATAACGTCTTAATCACAAAGAACTATTATTGCTATAGTTTCGAGTTGGTAAGTATTAAGTATAGAATGGATTCTGACATCTCAATCAATTTTACTTCTTATCAGTTGGTTACTTAAGCTTGAACATTCGAAGTGTTGGTTATTTCAAACCAACTCTAGATCATACCATCCAAATGACCTTAACAAACCCCCCACCAAGCTGAGCTTCCCCCAGTGAAACTGCTCGCAAGTTTTTTGAAACAAATCGCCCAAACATTTTCACAACATGCCCGAGTCTCATTTAATGAGATTTCTTGGGGGCTCCAGACTGGACCAGACCAGAGATGGGAAAGCAGATGCTGCAGATAAACGCTGTGGGAGAAGCTGAAGATGAGGCTCGGTAGCCAAGGAGAATCTCGGCGAGCGCCTCCCCACTTGTAATTATTAACTTAAGGCATTTTCATTTATTATTTGTTATTTAATGTTGCCAGTCTCCAAGACTTTCCTGGGAATCGTCGTTGTCGTCGTAGTCTTTTGCCCTATGCTGCGGGGCCAAGCTCACTTTTTTGACATTTGATGTACATATTTATGTGGTCTGGTCTGGTCTTCTCCCCGCTTTTATTTCTGCTGCTCTGCACTCGCTCTGAGCGATTTGTCGGAAACTGTCTCCCCTATGTGTTGCGCCTGGAATTCGTTATTATATTTTGATTGAGTGATTTATTTGAAATAGTTGTTCTGTCAAACAGGTATAATTAAATGGGCATAATAATGGCAAACAAAAAGTACAGCTTGAAAGGAACAACTAAGTGCCTGAAAACAAGGACTGGATGGAGATTAAAGATGTTTATAAATCAATATATGTTTGTACATACAAATGTACATTCCTATCTAACTACGTATCTTTATTCGTAAAATTGCAGGTATGTACATATGTACATATCGAATTGAGTTTAAAAATCGTCGAATTTCGTTTGAAAGCTTACCTAACCTCAGACTTTCATAATCTTCCACCATTCACAGATCCTTTGCCCCATCTACGGCGGCACTCTCTAACTCCATGGCATACACCTGTCCAACATTCCATTTCCAAGTGTGTGTTCCTTTTCTTTTTATTTTTTCTTTCTCCGACTTTCGGGATACAGATAAATACAGATATGATTTCTTTGTTTACACACAGAACAAAAATAAGTCATCAGAGTGGTCGAATGTGCTATAAATATATGAATTTTTCTTGAGGTTATCCCTGCACAGCACCATCACCCTATAACTCCTTCTCTCCCAGTATCGACCTCTCTTAAATTCTTTCTTTCTGACGTTTCTTTTTCCCTGATGGTTTTTTCTTACCTCTAACGATTGTTGTTTTTATACCCGGTACTCGAAGAGTAAATAGGGTTTATTGTTTTTGTGGTAAAAGAAACGCTTTAAAGTTAATATACATGCATACATTTATTCTTTATCAGCATCAAGAGCCGAGTCTATCAGATCCCCGAATCAAGATCGGCTCAGATCATTATTATAAGCAGAACGAAGAAATTCCTTTACAGTGGCTTTCCCTACCCCATCCAGAAACACTGCATATCCTTGCTCAATCAGATGTAGAACAAATTTAAAATGTAAAATGTCAAATTCGAAGAAAAAAAAACCAATAAGGTAGAGATATCTGACTGAGTACCGGGTATAAAAGTTGTGACGCTTAAGAAGCGTCTCACACGGTCCTACTCGTTTCTTTTAGATTTGCTTCCGGCGACATAAAACTGCATTTTTTTTTTTACTTCTCCTGCTCCCGTGAGCTCCCGCTTCCACCCATCCTCCCCCAACACACCTTCGGCTCCTTCTTCCCATACTCCCATTCTCCCATAGGGGAGTAAAATGGAGAGAACTACTCAAAGCAGCTGCCCATTGGCGTTTACTCTGCTTGGAAAATGCTCCTCCAGCAAGCGTTCAGCTGCAACTTGAACTTCTGCTGCTTCTTTATTTGCCTCTTCCTCTTCTACGCCTTCTTCTGCTTCATACTCTTGTGCAGTTGTTGCAGCATTCGGCTCTCTGCCTCTTGCCCCCTTCCTTGATTGCATCCACCATACTGACTCGGCCAGCCAGTTCCTCTGTAAGATTTCAAGTTTTGTTCTTAAAGAAGTTCGTCTACAGGATGGCCATGTGCCCATAATTGTGAGGCACACGACCGATGAGTGTGCGGGAGAGAGATGGGACGACGAGAGAGGTCCAAGTTCAACCCACCCACATTTTATTGTTATCGCTAACAATGGGCCAGGCGGAGGCGGACGTATGTACATAGAAAGAGGCAGTGGCCAGGGAGCTGGCCACAGCTGCCGTATTCTTTTGAAATGCTCTACCGCATTGCTAATATAAATTTCAAATTTCGGAATTGCTGGAAATGGAAGATCGTTGGGGAACGGACACGACGGATTTCGGATCGATCAGTGTTGATACCTGTAAGTGATAATGTGTCCAGAACTATGTAGACTGTTGCGAGTCCATATTATATTTATTATTATTCTAGCATCCATATTTCCCCCATTGCGCTTCTCTCAGCATATCTTTCATATCCTCGCTCTTGTCACACCTACTGAACATCGCAGTCCAAATGCCCGAACCTTGCCTATGATAGGGCATTAAGAAAAAAGCAAATACAACTTCAAACGAATAAGAACGAGAGTTGAAGAAGTACAGCAGCACCAGCAACAGCAGCAGAAAAAACTCTACCAAATGCCAGAGGCTAGAAGAATGCATGGATGGACGACGACGCTGCTGCTTCATGCCCGCACTGCGATGCTGCCTGCTCCCCTTGCCAGGAAACAGAGTGAAAAAGCAGTCAGTGCATTGAACCGCCGCCCCAACACGCGTCCACATTGCGATTCCAAACTGGAAAAGCTCTTTCCTCTGTCGGAACGAAGCGAACGTGTAGCGTATTCTGTTCTAAACTTGGCTGAAGCCGGTTGCCTGAGTGGTGTGCTGACTGGCTCGGAGGGGGGAGAGATCGACTTTCGCACGATCATCGCGCAAGCCAAAGTCTGCCAACTCAAGGTGAGGAGTCATTTTTAGAGAGCTCTTTCACAGCGGCTGCATCATGTGTTATCAGCGGGAATGCCTCACCTTGCTTAAATACGCTTCGGCAGGCAAGCATTGGGTTGAGTCAGCAATCGATTATAAGCATAAAAGGAAGTAATGTTGCAGAAAATGCAAAAGAGAGAAAGAGAGAGACAGCGAGAGAGTGAACGCCATAGCCAGAGCAAACAGAAGAGAATGAAATAGGAGGGAGTACGAGTTGAGGGTACCGGACTGCAAGCGGAGACGGCGACGTCGACAAACGATAGCAACGACGGTGATGGCGACTGAACCGCGTCTCTGTCTGTCTGCTTTGTTGGCTAGGTTTGGCTATTTTTTATGATTATAAAATTGAAAAACGAAGCTCCGCGGTAGAGCTTAAGCCCCCCTTGACCACAGTCACGCCCTCGCTCTTTCTAGAGTGAGACAGAGATAGTGACCGAGACCGATCTCTCTTATTATTGCTTGTTGCGCTTTGGTCGGAGGCCTGGACAGCGACGGCTCTCTGTCTTGGGGTCTGTATCTTGGCGTGTGTGTAATTATCCAAGGACGCCGCTGAGTATGGAAACGACCTTGAGTGCAGCTACACACACTGCGAAAAGGGGACTACCCGAGTATGTGGATGTGAATGATTGGGCGTGATTTTTTCCCCGATATTCTCTTTGGTCTTAGTGAGACTAAGACTAAGAGTCCACTGCAACCCATTTGTTACACATGGACAAAAGAATAGAACAGACATTAAAGCTGGGTTTGCCCGACAATTTTTCAGCATCACAAAAGTCCAAGAGCAGATCTCGACTGAACGAAACTAACGCCCACTGCCAAAACAAGAATAGAGACTAACTACCTTCAGGGGCCGAATCTCGAGGAAGGATCCTATGTTGGATATGTGATATATTTATACCCGGTACTCAAAGAGTAAATAGAGTATATTGTATTTGTGCGAATAACGGTTGTATGTAACGCACAGAAGGAAGCGTTTCCGACCCCATAAAGTATATATATTCTTGTTCAGCATCAATAGCCGAGTCGATAGAGCCATGTCTGTCTGTCCGTCTGTCCGTCTTGTTTGTCGGCTCGTTCTCAGAGACTATAAGAGCTAGCAAATTTGGCTCCGGACTGCTGTATGCTCACACTGAAACCAGTGTATTTCAAAAATTAACGCCACGCCCCATTCCGCCCCCGCAAAAGGGCGAAAACCCCCCAAATCTACAGTTTTAAAGATAAAAGAAAACTAAAAACGCCATTCCGTAGGAAATGGCCATATCTATCAGATCACCAAATTGGGATCCGATCGGATCATTATTATAGCCACAATGGAGAAATTAATTTCCAGTGGCTATACCCACCCTGTCCCGCAGCTTTTGTTGCTCTTTTTACATTCTCTCATTCACACTCTGCTTCTGCTTCACTCGGCCCCTGCCTCTGCCCTTCTGGCGATGACTCTTCCTACTTTTAAACCACCCTGTCCCGCAGCTTATATACGCTTTTTTTTTTGTTTGAGGGCGCTGCCTCTGCCTCTACCGCAAGTCAGCAGTATGTGGGTCTAGGGAAGGGCGGCGAGCGTGTTGGTGTGAGAAGTGTTGTAGATGTAGATGACTTTGTAGCATTAAGCTACGGACAGAAGCTTGTTGCTATGGTACATACATGTGATATGTGAATACGATAGAGAAAGAGGAAAAAAAAATGCATTTAATAGGTGAATATCGAAATTGAAAAGTTGAAGAGATTAAATTGATTCCGACTCGGCCGAACAGCAGCACTTGGCTTTTTATTTCGAGATTTTTATTCATCATTCACCATCAAAGATACGTATAAGAAATTTTCATAGATGGCGCCACTAGCGGTCATTATTTCACAGAATGTGCATGGAAAAAGTACCAATTTTATTGCTGTTTTAAATATCTCATAAATTGGAAAATACGATTAACTGATCCAATATTTTTGATGCATTTTATTTAGTAGGCTTTTTACTTTGTGTTCTGTAATGTGAACGGTATCTAGTGGTTGGCGATGTCTTCTACATCTAGGTGTAGTCCTGAGTGCCGGGTATAAAAGTTGCGACGCGTAAGAAGCGTCTCACACGTCCCTTCTCGTTTTATATTGGGCTGCGGAACATGTATGTGCATATGTATGTACATAAATACTTATGTACATACATAAGTCGTTCAGAAATTGTAATGGTTTGAAGTATGGCTTTGTGGATAATGACTTTTATTATTCATTAAAGTTGTACGATTAAATGGGGATTCAGAATTTGAAGCAGTGGCGGTAATGGCATATCGCATCAGAAAACCTTTGAACCTGCTGCGGTAGCTCAACTAGCAGACGTGTCAGATTCCTCAGATTCCTGACTCATAGTATGTATGTATGTATGTATGTACATAGATAAGGACTAAGTTTAATTTGAATCAGAATGGTAATTGCTAAAGAATTTTCAGATTTTAATGAAGGCTATTGATGTCGTTGATCGATGTACATATGTGTGCAGTAATCCTATCGATAAGTGTCCGAACTTTCTAATATTAAATAGAACTGACAGTCACGATCTTAATTGACAAAGGCAGTCCTGTTTTTGATGATTTCAAATTTAATTTATTATTATCATAATCGATTACCCGATATCAAGAAATGAACAATAAAACGAAGATGAGGATAAATCAGGTTTCGTTCGAGCTCCCTCGCTCACTTGATGTGACTCTCTCTCACTCTGTCCTCTCTTGGCTATTATCATCCCATCCCATAACATCCTATCCATCTGCTGCCTAGACATTCCCCTCTAATCAGCCAGAGAGCAAAAATTATTTGCCATCACGCGCTGCTTCAAACGCGGCAAAACCGCAGCCAGCCCAAACGACTGGAGCCTTTTCTTAGGTAGCTGCTGCTGCTGCTGCTGTTGGTGTTGGTGTTGCTCTTGCCTGGCATGCCACCAGGCTATCCATCCACCATTAGGCCATAATCATCATCACACACGCTGCCCAGGCTGCCTGCCTGCTTCTGCCCCCTGCGGCAACCCACTTTCTGGCAGAGGAGTGCCAAATGCCTTTTGTCTATGGATGGTGGCGAGAGATGATGGGTGAGGGTGATGTAGAGTGGAAGATGGATATGTAGAAAGAGAAGCAAGGGGAAGGAAACTATTTGTAAGTATATGTTTCGGTTTCATTGTTGCATTTCTTTTTTTGCGTTTATGAAATTAATGAGCAGCTTTGGCCAGCCCAGCCTCCCTCCCCTCTTCCCACTGCGAATCCGGCTTCATTCCACGCTAAACTCTAGATTGGAGGCCAACAAAGAGAAAAAGCCGAGGAAACGGTTGCATAATGTTTGCTTCTTTTTTTCTGCTGTTGCTTGCTCTTTTATTGACCCGCATATTTCGGCTCTTAGCCATGCGCAATTCGGCTAACCCTGAGGCGCAGCCTCAACTCTACTCCTCCCTCCACTCTCCTACTCCTATTGACATCTCCAGGGTCTGCCCATAGCTCCCGATCCTATAACTCAACTTCCTCTCACAAATTCCATTTGCCGGCCTGAGTGCGGGCTAGCTATTTCCATACCCTTTCAGAAGAGCGGGACCATCTGGTTGCACCGCATTGCATTGGGTATATGTATTTATATGTATGTACTTACATATGTACATATGTGTATAAAGAGCATCGGCATCTAAACATGGCCTCTCTTTATTCTTTCTTTGCATTCGTACTCGAACAATATGTACTGTAATTGTGGTGGGAGCAGACCCTATAGGAGCTAGAGCCACCAAATTATGCATCCAGTCTGATGGACGCTCACACTGAAACCAATGCATTTCAAAAATTAAATCCGACACCGCAAAAGGTCGAAAACCTACACTTTTGAAGATACAAAAAAACTACAAACGCCATTCCGTAGGGAATGACCATATCTATCAGATCAACTGATAGGGATCAGAATGGATCACTATTATAGCCAGAATGAAGAAATTCATTTGCAGTGGCTACTTCTTCCACAAGCATTGCTAGTGCTTGTTTTTTTTGCTCATTCCCTCTGCCTGATGCAGTGTGTTTCTCTGGGGGAGGGTTCAGAGCTGAAAGGGTGTGTAGAAATAGACGTAAATTACACGGTAACATACATATGTATGTATATACTATGTACATATATGTATGACACCAAGGATAATATATATAAATATATAAATAAAAATAAATAAATATGACTGAGTACCGGGTATAAACGTTGTGACGCGTACGAAGCGTCTCACAAAAGTCCCCTCTCGTTTTTCTTTATTTTCAGGTACGTACCGGCGATTGAAGTTGTATTCCATATTTCACTTAACAAATATTTTTGGAGCTGGTGTTAGGAGTTT